AAGAGACTCCCAATGTTTGATAATTTCATTAGAGGTATGAATAATTCCAGACTGTTTTTCAAATATTTTATTTGAAGAAAGTTATGAAGGCATCAACAATGATCTGATAACTAGGTGGTCTTTCCACCCTAGTATGGGACATTATCGATGGTTGAGAGGCCCTATCATTCATCTTCGAAGAGAACAAAGATCAGAGTATGTGGCGAATACAATTCGTTGCATCATAGATTTCCTTAATATATGATTACTGCTCGTTGTAGAACTCGTCCCTAGAAGGAGTGGTAATGTCATGGACATATGCATGTAAGCCAGTAATTACATGTATAAATAGGTAGAAGTAAGTAGAAGTAGATAAAAATAAATTAATTCTATAGTATTTGATATGCAAGCTTCTTAGAAGCTTTACAGATGCTGCTTTGACTTTATAGGTATCTTTCATTGAATTTTTGGATTAGAAACATAGTCAACAAGTTGGCCTTGTGCCACACATGTTGTTAGTTTGAAGACCAAGCTAACTATGTGGCCTACATGTAAAAAAACTTGTCTTGTAAGTCAAGGCATGTGTCGTACAAAGTCAACACATATTAGAGGTCCTATAGAACATTGCCACGTAGCCCCTAGTAAGATAGTATATATAGAGACAAGAATAAAGCCTTCTTCACTCTTATCAACTTCTTTCTTGCTTCCAGTCTAGTTTCAAGGGTCTCTAGTTTTCTTGGCTTTTGGCAATAGCCATTCCAATTTCTTTCTTAATATACATATCAAGTTATTTCTATTTTGTCAACTTTCATTGAAAGAAGTCTCACTTGTTTATTTGTCCTTATCATGTTTCAGTCCTTGACAATAAGCCATTTCAGTTTTTTTTAATATATGTACTTCTTTATTTTTATTTTGTCATTCTTTCTTTGACATGGATTTCATTGGTTTATGCATCATCTTTTAGTTCATGTCCTTGATAATGTGTCTTATTAATAAGATACATATTGGAAGTCTTATTGGATGTCACTACATAGCTCATAATTGAAGAGTATATATAGAGATAAGAGTAGAGCCTTCTTCACTCTTATCCATGCCTTACATATCCTTTCAAAAGACATTAATGACTTTCAGAACTTTTAGGTCTTCTTGATTTTGACAGTTATCATTTGAATTTAATATTATACCATATTTCAATATTTATCTAGTCTTTTTTGAATAACATAAGAATGTATTGATATTTTAATTCTTTAAAATTGATATCTTTAAGTATAGACAAAATCATAAGAATGATGAATATAGATTTATCAAAAATAGTTAATTTAATTTGAACAATAGTATCAAGGATAAACACTCAATGAAAGAAAATAAACAAGTCAGACTTTCTCAAAGAAGTATGGCAAAATAGAAATAGGAAAGTATATATATTATAAAAGAAACTAAAATGACTATTACTAAAAGACAAGGAAACTAGAGACTCTTGAAATTAGACTATAAGCAATAAAGGAGTTTACAAGAGTGAAGAAGGCTTCACTCTTGCATCTATATATATTAACTATGTAAGAGCTATGTAGAGATGTTCTATAGGACCTCCAAAATATATTGACTTTGCACAACACATATCTTAACTTGCAAGGCAAGTTTTCTACATGGGAGCTACATAGTTAGTTTATTTCGCAAGTTATCAATATATGTGATATGTGGTGATCTTGTTGACCAAGTTTCTAACCTACCAATCAACTACAAATACATGTTAAGTCAAAGTAGAGTTTATAAAGCTTCAAGGAAGTTTTCTTAGAAGATATTATGAAATTAATCTATTTTTATTTTCTTTTACTTATTCATATTATCTAAATAACAATTATAATAAATATATGTCAATGACAAATAGAGATTACAAAAGTAGGTTTGAATTGTGTAAAAAGAGCAAGAAAAATAACCTTTGCTGCTTGGTATTTCAAAAATATGTTTGCTATGATATAATATTGGACATATTGTTGATAAGAATAATCTTGAATCTCCTATTAAACAAGTCAATTTTAGAATCAAAGCTCTTCTAATAACATCATCGTTTTTGGAATTCATTGTCTAAGCATAAATTGTAGATATCCTACTACTGCTAGTATTTGAAAAAAACTAGAATCAAAGACTTTGATTGACCTAAACTTGGTGCTAATATTGTACTTAGATATGTAGATTCACTTGTGAAAATCTGAATTCAACTTATACCAAGAAGATTAGTTTGTTTCAATGGACATGAAGAATTTGATGCTAATAAGATTTTCAATGATAGTCTCACTAATACTCCATCAATATGAGATCTTTTCTAATCTTATTGAGTGAAACTTGTGGGTGCTTTATAAATATGATTTATAAATAGAAATCATAATAAGCTATTCATTTGAGATATTTGATAATATATATATTGAGTTTATTTATAAATTTTATATAATTACTTAAAATATATATATTATTTATATTGATATTTTAATTGGATTAAAATTATAAATAAAATAATTATTATATTTAAAATTTTATTTAATTTTTAAATTAATTTTTATTTAGGCTCATTTATATTATGAGCATAAAAACAAATAAAGTAGTTAAATTCATCTTACTCCAAGTATAAATCAAATGGATCATCTATCTTAAATTAATTATAATTAATAATTTTTAATAATTTTATTTCATTAAAATTTTCATATGAATATAACTTATTTTGAGATTTTAAAAAGAATCAACAAAAAAAAATGATGTTTAATTAAAGTATAATTAAAATTTTGATTAGATTTTTTGAATCTACTATTAAAATTTTAAATGATATTAAATATTTTATCATTATTCATATGCAATTTATGATTTTATTTGTGATAATTTCGTATTTAAAGATTATAAAAATATATAAAATAAAAATCTAATTTTATTTGAGTTTTAAATTTGAAGTAATAAGAATTTAATTTACATATATTTATTAATAGAATATATAAAAATAATATATTAAAAACTTTTTAGATATATTTAAAAATTATTTATAAAGTTGTATATAGAAACCTTATTGTTGAAGTATTAACAAAGAATTGATTTGCTTAAGAAAATAAAAATCAGTAGTAAAACTCTAATTTTATGGATAAACTAATTTTCTTGAAGATTGCAACTAAAATTACTAGATTTAAAAGAGTACATAAAATGTTTGAAACATTTACTCACATAATAAATTGAAATTGAATTGAAAATTTAAAATACACCTTTTAGATTATATTGACAAGATTTAGGATTAATATCTTTACAACATTAAAAATCAAACTAAATAATACAAAAGAATTAATATTGAATGTATTAAATTAAAGTATATTAAATTTAAAAATAAAAACTATTTTTATTTAATTTTTTTTAAAAATGATGATATGAGCTCTATTAAAATTTTAAATAGTAATATAATATTTTTTAGATAAAAACTTGAATCAAAATATTTTTTATTTTTAATTTATATATTAGTATAAAAAATGATTCTATAAGTCACAAGAGTCTTATCAAATAAAAAAATCATAAAATAAGAGTTTTATGAATTTTTAGAAGCATTATCCTAGTAAATTTAGTATCTTTGCAGTTTTCTCTTATTGATAATAATTTATATTTGATTCATGAAAATAACGTTAGAACTAGTCTCTTATATATGTATGAATTTATTTTTATAAATTTATAAATAATAATTAGTAGGTTGATGAATTATAATATTAAAATTATATTTTAATAATTTATGTTGAAAAAAAATGGCTAATTTAAATTAATTTTAGTGCAATATTTTGTAAAGTAGTTTTAGTTTATTATTACCATATTAAATATATATATATATATATATATATATATATATATATATATATTATGGATTGTTTTAGTAATTTTTAAAATAAATATTAAATATTTTTGTTAAAATATTACATTTTCTTTCAGAAATAGTTATAGTAAATTCGAGCAAGATTCGAAGGTTATTTAAGGGTATAATGTTAATTTGGTGTTTTTAAACATCATGGTATAGCCAAATTTTCTAAAAAAAAATAATTTTATTAAAAATCTAGAATTACCAACAACAAATCATAGAAATAGTAATAAATTAGGTGAATATGTCAAAATTGGTTGTAGCACCTTAGGGATAATTAAGAGGATATGATAAAGGCTTTATTAGTCTTTTATAATATCTTACTTATGACTTATATGCCTTGGAGAGATTAAAAATTTTTAGATACATAACTAAGTTATACGTGAAGTAAATCTCAATTACATAATTTTTCATTTTTAAATTATTATAATATTCTTATCATAATTTATATTTACTTTCTTTTCTATTTTATTAGAAAATATAAAAAATAATTTTATAAATATATAATTTCCTATTTTTATTTATATCATTTAGTAAATAAAAATATAACAAAATAATTGAATTTAGTTTTAGAATGTATTTAGTCGATTGTTCTTCTTAACTTGTTATTCTTCTTTCTTGTTCATTATACTTTGTAAATTCATGCTAGTATTTTTAAACAATTCTTAATTGAAACCACCTTATAATTAAGATTGAAAGACATATTTTACTATCACAAGTGATTCAAAAATAAACAATGGATGTTGAATCTAACTCAAGCAATAATAAATAAAAATCTAAAGTCATAGATTTGGACAATGACAATATTATAAAATAAAATATAATAAAATATAGAAAAAATTTCATACATGACACAAAAATTTGCCAAAATATGAAGAATACCCTTGTATTCTTGATAATATCAAATTTATCCCTACCTCTTGAGATAATTGCAAGTTTGCCTTTCAACTTGATAAGCTGTTTCTTCCTATTTTTTTAGTTGCAATTGGGGCCCAAAGTGCATGCGGCGCAGATTTAGGCCCTACATCTTTTGCTCACATCTTAAGCACCTCACGATATATACGCCGACCTCCGGACGTCTTCGGTGATGTTGTACCTTGAACGTGAGCGATATAAAGGTGAGTGGTACCAAGTCCATCGATGGCTTGAAGTAGAGAGTGTGGGCAATCAATTTCCTTGTTTTGGTAGGATTTCTGCGATAGCAGAGAGGGACGTTGTTCTCCTCGCCTGGTAATTGTCCGTTCGTAATCCATTTGCTCGTATCTGAACCGTAGTAGCTTGTTGTCAAGCGTCTAGGAAACGTTCACAATAATCAAGTTACCGTTTTCGTCAGAATTTCTTGTTCTTGCCTGGCTTCATCGATGGCTTTAAAAAGTGAACGTGCTATGCGTGGTGCCTCTGTTTGTGGCGTGATTGAGTTCTTTTTGCTCTTGAAGATTTTGCTGGCGTGGCTTCTGTGAATGCTGATCTTGCATGTCTGCTTATCACTGCAGAATGGAATGAGTTGAGTTCGCTGCTAGAAATCTTGTGTGCTTGCAATGATTTGGTTGAAACATATAACATTAAGGAAACATTCTCATAGAGACTGTCTGGACAATGTGGATCACTGCTGGAGATGTACTATCATCAAAATTCGAACTTTTTTTCGTTTGTAATTATTTGATTAAACAGTCTTGAAATGCAATAAACTGTGGTCGGCTGAACTGCGAAAACAATGTTGCGATGGTTTGAATAAACGATTCAGTCTAACCGTGGTCGGGCTGTAAGAATTGCTCAGGTTTAGAGAAAACTGGAACGATGCGGAACAAACCAACTTGTGATAATCAAATCCACACACCGTACAGTGAGATGGTCGGCGATGCAACCTCAGCTCTGAAGGACCGCCCAGGCTCTACTCAGAAAAACATCAACTCCTTACGTGAATGCATTATAATCTGCAGTTGGCAACCGCTGAGTCCACAAACTTGTCTCCAGGCGTGAGTGTTCAAATACAGAAACTGGCGAACTTGTCACAAGGCGTTGAAGTGAACTGAGATATTGAGAGATTCATTTTAGTTTGCGCTCAAGACAACACCACGCTCCTTGAAAAATGCTTTTGCTCCTCAATGTCCTTTTGCAGTAGGATTTCTTCCTCAACGCAAAACCGAAATACCATCATGCCGTAACTCAGTACACCCAACCTACAACACCCTAATGACATTATCACAAACATTGAGATGTATGGAACGATGAGATGCACCGAGGAAGCCAGATCCTTGGCGAGAAGCAACAAAATCCAGACCACCACGACGGCCGTGAAGATGCTGCAGATCTTCCACACCAGCTTCATGGCAATGCAGTGCAGAATTTGACCAATCTCGTGGAGGCGTCCATTTCGTGCGGTGCTCGAGATGTGTGAAAAAGATGTGGGGCCCAAATCTGCGCAGCATGCGCTTTTGGCCCGAGTTGGAACTGAAAAAACAGGAAGAATATAACTTATCAAGTTGAAGGGCAAATTTGCAATTATCACAAAAGGAGGGGTAGATTCGATATGATTCTTGATATATATTTTTAAATTTTAGGGGCATGTATGATATTTTTCCTTAAATATGTCTATTTATATACATTTTCTAATAAAGAAATTCAATCACATACTTGTATTATTAGATTTTTAAAATTAGAACAAAAAATCTTATTTCTTATCTATTTATAATTTTATTAGTATTAAATTATTCACAAATATAAAAATATATATGCAACTAATAAATCAATATTGATTTAGGTACTTTTTATGTCTTTTCTTACTTTTAAAAAACATAGATTTTTTTTGTTTTGTACAAAGATCAATTAATCAATTAATTTTACTTGGATTTTTAAAATAATAATACAAAAAGTTGGAAACTTCATAGATTGAATATTATAGATTTATATTATTCATTAAAATAGATAAATAAACGTCTAATTTTTTAAATTTATTGTAGAAGATTATATAAAAAATAAAGATTGTGATAAAAAAAATTGGTCTAATAGAAAAGACAATTTTAAAAGAAAGAAAATAAGTTTTTAAATAATACAATGATATTAGAGTTTCACAAAAAAAATTAGAACTATTATTAACATTAAATTTTACACTAACTACATTTGATTAATAGAATTATTTAGGTTAGCAATATTTGTCACTAAAAAAAGAGGATAAAACTTACTACTTAAAAGATTCAAAAGTCTGCATTCTAATAGATATAAGTAGTTCTAATATCTAAGAAATTTGAAGCTTCTTTATAAAATAAGCTCTAGCTCAAAGACGATGTGTTGTTACCTTAATAAAACATTATGTGATAATTCTTCTTGTTAAATATTAATATACTACTAGGACTCCAAAATTAATCTTTCTTATATTAAAGTTGATAAGTTATTAGAAATAATTCTTATTAAGAGAAATTTTGCACCAACCATTGATTTGAATTGGATTCCATGCAATTCAACTTTAATAGAGACTACAAAGTCTTAACTTGTATAAAATAACCATAAAAAAAAAAAAAAAAAAAAAAAAAAAAAAAAAGTTTTAAGAAATAATTTGTTATACATATCAATGTTATATAAGTAAATAGGAATAAATAGAAATAAGTAGAAATATATAAAAACATATTGAAAAGATTATATCTTCTTTTAAAAGCTTTAAGAAAATTTTCTAAATATAGTTTAGATATTTAGATTTTTATAAATATGCCATGTGGCTATTGAACTTATGCCATAATTTTTTTATTTTTAAGAAGTTGTGTTGGAATCAACCTACAAATAGATGCTTGAGCCATATGTCTTGTATTTCTAAAACGTTTTTAATTATATCATTAAAAAGAGTCAAGAACTAAGATTTAGTTGAAGAATATATAATCATGTAATAAAAATAACTTCTAAGTTTTCAAAAATCTATTCATCAAGGTCAAAATTTATATGGTTTGATTGAAATTAATTCAAGCAAGCAATTAAGACTATAAGAAAAAACTAAGTACCATTATGAAAACTTATGTTAATATTACAAAAACATATGTTATATGGTATAAGATTGTTGCATCAAATCAAGTGAATTTAGGAAAAAGAGCACATATTTAAATATAAAAAATTTGAAAAAAAAAAAAGACATTTAGTTGTACTAAAGATCTTGCAATTGAATACCTTTAGACTACAACCATCATATATATGTTTTATACTACCATCAAATCCAATGATTTATTTTAAACTTCTTATTTTTGTTAAAACTTCAAGTTTAATTTTTTTTTAGCTTAAGTATTTATAGATATTAGAGCCTTAACATATTTTATAGACAAATTTTATATTGTAATAAAAATTAATCTTTTTAAAGACAATTTGATCCATTACAATGGAGATAATTTACAAAGAATTAATTGTATTTAATGATATCATAGAAGAAACTAACCTATTTAAATTGATGTTAAAAGATTAAGTATCTAATATTGTCTTTAATATAATTCTATGTTCTTCACATCTAGTAATACTTTCTATTCTTTGATTTAAATTATATATTTATTATATTTATTAAAAATTATCAAAGGTCACTTCATAAATTAGTCTAAATACAAGCAAAATATCATGATTTTAATTTTTAGAGATAAAAAATTTATATAAGGAATAAAATGAGATTTATTTTTTATTTATATAGCACCAAGTTTTTATTTAAATAAAAATTAGAGTAGAATTCAAAAGTAATATAAGAAATATTGAGATGTCTTTGAAAAAATATTTATTAATATGTCACTAAAAGACTAATCATATAGTTATATAATTTATCTTTAAAAAGAAGTTAAATTAGCATTTGGATCTAACTTATTGCAAAATGAAATTTTATTTTGATGGAATATATTAATGAAAATTGTGCAAAAAGTTTAATTTACACAAGATTAATTTATACAAAGTTATATAGAACTTTGTTGTGTATTGTTTAAACATAATTCTTATCTATTCCAAGAATATGGATGAACTCAAATAATATGTTTGCATTATATTTCAAAAACTTAGAAATGGAAGATAATACATTAAGATAGAGAAATGTGTATTTCACACATGTTAAGTAAAATTTTGTGATTATATTATATAAAATAATGATTTGCAAATAGTTTTTAAAAATATATAGATTATCATAGATGAGATAGTATGGTATACTTAAAGTTATTTTATATTCTATAACTATTATTAGATATTTATAAATAAATTATTATTTTACTTATATATATTTAGAATAGAATAAAGATACAAAAATAGAATTTAAAGGCTTAAAAATAGCTTTATCTTAGATCTTATTTTTATATTATCTCAATTTATCAAAATAAATTTTATATAGAAACTTTTGTTTTATTTTTATATTTAGTAAAATTCTATTATAAATAAATGCAAATAATAGACTCAATCTTTATGCCTTTTATTTAATTTTTTTTTAGTAATTAAGATTAAATATAAAATTAAAATTGACAAGTTTTTTTCTATTATAAATTAATTCTAAAATTAGAATTTTTTTTTGAAGAGGTGATTTTCATCCAATTTCAGTTTATACCAATCAAAAGAATCTTAAATATTTTATGCCAACTTGTACCTTTAATCACTACCAAGCTTATTGGAGTATGTCTTTATTAAGGTTTTTATTCAATACTATATATTACCTTAAAAAATAATAATGCTTATCAAATATCTTATTTAGACATTTTCATCTTGTATCTAAAGAAGATGTTGCATATGTTCAATAATGAATTGGTTTTTTGAATCCAAAGAAATTGCACCTTGGAGCCATTGAGTCAAAAATTCTAATTGATACTACTTTTTTTGATGAATTTTCTTTAAATATATTAATAGATTTTTATTATGTTAAAAATAAGTTTTATAATGACTCTAAAAAAATTGAATCTAAAATAAACCTATTTTATTATAAAATATATTTATATATTCCAAAAGATCAAATACAACTACATACATTATAAACACAATATGACTTTCTAACCACAAGATGTCTTAGGTACAATAAAACTTTGGATCTTATTTTAAGAGATTTTTGGTAGCTTTAAATGTAAAACGAAGTTAAACCATTTATTCAATCTTGTGAAACTTTTTGTAATACAAAGACTCTGTATCATTGATCCAAGAGAATTTTTTAGCATCTAATTAATGCAAAATAACTTTAATTATTTATTTTTATAAATTTTATTACTAATCCTGAAAACTCAAATTCTTACAAATCTATTTTTTGATGGTAGATTATTTAATCAAAATGGTACATTTTACAAATTTAAGTAAAAAAACAACCAAACTTTTCTTTAACAATGTCTATTAATATTATAGACTTTTAAATGATATTATATGTAATTCAGGATTCTAATTTATATTAATATTTTGGAAAAAAAGCTCTTTAATATATTAAAATTTTAAATTAAGTTATATTTTATTTTTTATCTTAAAATAGATGAATAAATAAACTATATTAATTAATTATTGGAGTAGCACTTGCAATGCCTTATCAACTTTCACTAATATAATTAGATAAATTTCTTATTATTAATTAAAATTTTCAAAATAATAATATAATATATTTTTTTTATTTAATAAAATTTAATTTTTTCTAATTATATATATTATCTATAATTTAATACTTTTATTTTTTAAAATTTAAAATTTAAGCAATAAAAATATTAGTAAGTAAAATAGAAGAATTTTATATTAAAATGAAGATACAACTAAATGAAGCTAAAGAACAACAAAAAGCTAATGCACATGTTTTTAGAAAAGAACAACCTTTATTCAAAGTTGGTGATAAGATATGGTTACTTTGTTACAATAACAAGACTAATTGATCAACTATTAACAATATAATGATATGAATTAAGGAGAAATAAGTTTATCAATTAATTTGTATAATTTCTTTGCAAAAATAGATAACCAATATCAAAGAGACTTAATTTAAGATTTTTTATTTATAAAATTGCTATATAAGCATTTAGCTCATCTAAACTTGTACAATGTCACAATTTTGATGAAGATTCTCAAAAGACACACATCATTTGAATAGATAGAAAGATAAAATATGTTAGACATCACAATCTTAGAAGAGATTCAAGATGCTGAATAATACTATTAGAAGTGGATCTTTGACATGATCAAGTGCAAAATATGTTGTTTGAAGATAGTTATAAAGACCTCAATAGTGATTAAATAACTAAGTGATCTTCTTTCCATACTATAGAATATTATCAATGTCTAATAGGATATATCAATAAACTTTGTAAAATCTAATACTATTCAATAGATCTTTGATTTCATAACTTTACAAATTAATTTTTTATTCTTAATAAAACTTGTTGCCTAAAAGAAAAAATAATGTAAAAAATATATTAATTAGTTAATTAATTAATTAATTAAAATATATATATATATATATATATATATATATACATAAAAAAAAGTAGAATTATGTTTGAAAGATAGTTTCTTTATTAAGAAGCTTCAAAGAAAAAAATTAATCAAAAATTTGATGTTTAGACTTTTATAGATATGCCACATATTATTAAAACTTGGGCCATAAGTTTTTTATTTTTAAAAAGTCATATTGGAAGCAATCTACAACTAGACACTTAGATCATAAGCCTTGTAATTCTTAGAAAGCTTCTACAAGACCTTCTTCATAGCTAACATACATGGAGGCAAGACTAAGATCATCTTTAATTTTATCAATACCTTTCTTAGGCTCTAGTTTGAGTACAAGACTATCTAGTATCTTTGTATTTGGAAATTATCATCTTAATTATTTTTAATCTTATAACTATATATATATATATATATATATATTTATAATTACATTATTTCCTTCTTTAGTATTATAAGAATATATTATCTTCTTTGTAATTTGTTTTTTAAACATATTCTTGATTAATAAAAAATTCAAAGAATTTTTTTTGTATTAAATAAAATAGTAATAATTGGATTAATTAACAATTTTTAGTAAAAATCAAAGATTTATTGTGGAAAAAACAAGTCCAATATTTTATGTTCATACTAAACAAATTAAAAAAAAATTATTATTTTGTAAAATTATAAATGATAAAAATATTAATTTAATTTTTTTATAAAATTAAAGATATGTTTGTAGATGTATTTATTACAAGTTTAACTCATAAAAATTATTTTAAGATCAAGGAAATAAATAAATAAATAAAAATTAATTTTAAAAAATATTTCATATATGTATAATTTTAAATTAGATGTTATATGAGTATATAAATAATTGATATTACTTATTTGCAAGTTGATAATTTGGTTGTTATAAGTCAATGCTAATATTATATAATTATATGGCTTACTAAAGTTGTTGTGTTGGCTAATACAAAAATAATTTCTAAATTAAGTAGATCCTTGGTAGTAGACTAATTACTAGTATCCTTAGACTAAAGAGTTATTATTATTGGACTACAAATTTATATTTTTATTACTTCTTTTTTATAGTTTGTAATTGAATTATAATATTATATATTTTTATTGTTTAAGTTATGGCAAAATTATTTAAAACATATAATTTCAAATAAAATTAAAATAATTTAAACAAATATATATATATATATATATATATAGTTTAATTTTTTTAATCAAATTAAAATTATTAAAAACCTAGTAATACTATCATTGCATATCAAAATTATTCTTATATTATACACATATACTAGCAAGAACTTGTTTTAGTAAGCATAAAAATTTTGTAATAGTTTAACTAATTGAGACAAAAACCGACTAATTTTCATGATATAAAAAAAATCAAATAAAAATATTTTGTATTTTTAGTATACTTGGTAATAGCAATTCTTATTTACTTCTATAACTAAAATAATTAGTTTAAAAAAAATCAATAAAAAAAACTACATTGAATGTGGTGTTTTTGATTTAACTATCTTTGGAGTAAATAATCTTGATTTTATTTTATTTGGAAAAGTGCATTTTGAAAGGTCAACATATGTAAAAAGAAAACATACATGAAAGGACAACATTTATTTATTTAATTTTACATTGTGAAAGGACATTTGTTTTTAGTGATTTTGGCATAATTTTTAGTTATTTTACCAGATAACAATTCTCTCTCTCTCTCTCTCTCTATATATATATATATATATTATGGATTTTTCTTTTGTTAAGCACACAGTATGGAAAATTATTCATATCTGAAAAAAAATTAAATTAAATACAGAAAAAAAAACTATAAGTTACAAATAAATGTTGTTGTATGAGGTCAAGAACCATTTACTATGTTGTAATTGTTTTGTAACATTATTAATTAGACTTCATAGTAAATCTCAATGCAAATACATCATTCCTGAATCAAAACAAGAAAGAGTTTTGTGTGAAGGAATATCATTCTCATATACAGTAAGAAAGAAACAATACTTTTCTTCGTCTGTTTCTATTTGGATAATTAGAATGAACAACCAGAATGAAGGAGTTGTGTGTGACTGCCTTACAAGAACTGAACGTAAGGAGGGTGGATGTGGGTGGAAGGACAAGACATGGTAGGGACCGACGTGCTGGAAACCCTAGTTCGCCTGGAAGGGGCCGGGGATTCGGGGAGAGTGTTGGGGGTTAATTGGAGAAGCTGGTCGCCCGCTTCCTTCTTTCGCCGTCGCGCTCTTCTCTGAGTGCTTGGGGCACCCAATCCCCGCAACCATGAAGGTACACGCATACGGGGGCTCCCTCTGCCCTCCCCTGTTTCCTTTCCATCTTCACATGCCAATCTTCGCATTCACTGCTCTCTGTGGGTCAGTTTCCTGTCTTTTTAATTTAGTTCAGTTCCTGGCTGCAGCTCAACATCGCCAACCCCACCACGGGGTGCCAAAAGAAGGTTGAGATCGATGACGACGCCAAGCTGTAAGTTGCTTGGTTCCCTGCGACCTCTTCAGTCAGACGGTGGATTGTCGCTTTGGATTTTACGTGCACTCTTGTTTATATCTGCGTTTTGCACTCTTTTTAGGGTATAGGGTTTACGATTTTGCAAACGAATCGTCCCTTACAGATAGGCAGTTGGGAATCAAGGTTGCTTCGCCTTTACACACACACACACTTAGCCCGACAGTTCTCTTATCGGTCGTCGATTTCCTTTGGTGTTTGTGTTTAGTCGTCAATTCTACGACAAGAGACTGGCTCAGGAAGTTAGCGGTGACCAGCTGGGAGATGAGTTTAAGGGGTATGTCTTCAAGATTATGGGAGGTTGCGACAAGCAGGGTTTCCCTATGAAGCAGGGAGTTCTCACACAAGGCCGTGTGCAGCTCTTGATGCACAGAGGTATGGATATAAACACAGCTGGTATGTCTGAGTAGATCATTTATCGCGTCACTGCCTCGCTGTGCAGAAAGCGATGAGTTGCGTTGAAGTACCTTTGATGCACTCAGTACGGCCGCGAGGTTATGATTTTCATCTGTAACGACTCTTGCCTGTTGTCGCAGGGGTCTCTTGCTTCAGGGGGTACGGGAGGCGCAACGGGGAGCGGAGGCGCAAGTCTGTGAGGGGATGCATCGTTAGCCCAGACCTCTCGGTTTTGAACCTGGTTATTGTCAAACAAGGTCAGTTAACTTCTCTGTTAGAATTAGTGATTAACGTCCACGGAGCGTGTCCGGGAGACACTGCTAATGTCCTTTCTCCGTTCGTGTTAAGGCATTGAGGAGGTTGGTGGTTTGTGGGTACATTGGGGCCATGTTGTTAATAGACAAGGTCTTGATTAGGATATGCGAGTTTGTTGAGTTGAAAATGCATTTTTTTGGAGGGATGACCATGCATCACTTCTGGCTATGGTTGTCGCAGGTGACAATGACCTGCCTGGACTCACTGATATCGAGAAGCCCAGAATGAGGGGTCCGAAGAGAGCTACCAAAATCCGAAAGCTCTTCAATCTCACCAAGGAGGACGATGTGAGGAAATACGTAAACACATATCGCCGCAGCTTTGTGTCTGCCACAGGTATGGTCTTGACTCTTAAAATGAGTGTTGTATTTTAATGTGTTTTCCTTCATTCAGTTGCTGGTTTAGAGCCAGGGGATGTGACTGCGAGGGGCTGACTACTGACGGACGCATGCGTGCTTTCAGGCAAGAAGAGGAGCAAAGCTCCGAAAATCCAGAGGCTTGTAACTCCCTTGACTTTGCAGAGGAAACGCCGAAGAGTGGCAATCAAGAAGGCACGCGTCGCCAAAGCCAAGTCTGAGGCAGCAGAGTACCAGAAACTCTTGGCTCTTCGCATCAAGGAGCAGCGGGAGCACCGCAGTGAGAGTTTGGCTAAGAAGCGTGCTTCTCGTGCGTCTGTCGCCAAGCCTGAGGCCTAGGCTAAATAGTCAGGCTATCTGGTTGTTTCGGCATGTAGACCCAAATTGAGTCAGGTGTTCAATTCCTTATATTCCATTTCTAGAGTTTGTTCACTGTTGTGAATACTGGGTATGACAGCGGGACTATGTCAAACTATGTTTTGAGGGCAATGTCTTCTCCTCTTGGATTCTAATGCTTGGAATGAGAGATGGCGGTGAGGTCGAATTCAAGGTTTTGTTCATTACTGAAAATAACGATATGTGACGAAATACGTCAACACAACGGCAAGCTACGTCAACACATATATCTTATGATATTATTAACGATGTCTTCCAATTGATGAGTAAAAGCACTTCACAATTCCACACTCAGTTTGTGCATTTATGTTACTGATAAGTACAATCTCACAAGTTGTTACTATTCTGACCATGTGTTTTTGGCAATAGAATACATAACGTCATATTTGTGTCGACGGGCTTCATAATAAGACTTTGTTTTTTGATTAGTGACTTCATGTTGAATATGCTAAATGTATTAACTGATCTCATTCAAGTACCCGATAATCACTTGAGTTAATGGAACTGTTAATTAAAGCTGCCAACTCTAACCAGAATTGACGTGTGGGGATTTCTTCCGCATGTCATGTACTTTATCAGCTTTTAAAGCCAGAATTGCACATTTTAAAATGCACAAATTGATACTAAAAATTCTCGAATAATATGATTTGATGTACCTTATTATACCGAATCATCACACTCGTTACCAGTATGTAATAAGTCCACTACTTCATAACAAAAGAATCAATACATAGTCTTTAAAGACTTGCATTGAAGCAGCTGATAGGTGGAAATTTGTTCTATCCAGTGAAGTGTAATCTGTGTTGTCAATGATATCACCATATGCATTAATACGCCAGAGGACACTGAAATACAGATTTAAGCACAAAGCTTTAATGCTATGTTTGGTAATAGTGCGAAAACAAAATTCTACTAATGTATCCTCGCTCCCTCAAATTGCACTTTCTTTGCGTCTCAACATTCGCGTGAGAGATCTCTGCGACAGTGGAGGTTGGAAAACTTCCCAATTTCGCTTGCAGCGCTTCACCAACCATCTCATCAACTCCCGAAATCAACTGGCATGGTTTAACTCAGTAACCGCGCTCAGGTACCAAGACACTTCCTCTCATGTCCTCTTTGCTACTCACGGATGTGGCGATTGTTGATGAGGAAAAAAATGAGACATTGCGCAGCTATGATCGCTCCTGTCAGACGGAACCACAAAACACATTGGCTGATTCACGCGGTCACCACAGACATGAGAAGGCAACCCGCGAATACCTCAGTAAACCTCAACGTGCCACTGCTGGTTCTTCTTGAGCTTGGCAGGCTTCTCTTCCCATTTCTCGCCCCGAGATTCCGCCACTCTCTGCAGGGTGTCCCGAATTCCGGCCATCATGCCCCTCAGTCCACAAAAGTAGATGTGTGCGCCCGTGTCGAGCAAGTTGAACAGCTCCTCGCTGTACTCCTCGATCTTGTCCTGGACGTACATCTTTCCTCCCTTGCTGATGGTCTGCTCTCGGCTCAATGCCACATCGTTTCTGAAGTTATCGGGATGATCCTTCAGGTACTTTGTGAACTCGTCGTGGTACAGTAGACTGTCGGAGTGGCCACACCCAGGAAGAGCCAGGTAAGGCCCGCGAATTTTAAAGTGGGGACATCCTCCATGAACATACGCCTCAAATACCCTCTGTATGGAGCAATCCCAGTGCCGGTGGCCACCATGATGTGGGTGGCATTGGGATCAGACTGGGGCAGGAGCATGACCTTCCCAGAAGGACCTGTGATTTGCACCTTGTCGCCAAGTTTGCACAAAAAGTTGCTGAAAATTCCCTTCTTGGCAGGGTCCTCGGCCTGCAATTCTGGGCACCAATACATGGCCCGGCGGACGCAAAGGCTGGCGGTCTTGCCATCGAATTCATCGTCCTACCTAGAGCATGCAATTGAGTAGAGACACACGGTGTTGGGCTTGTTGGCGGTAAACCCACACGTCAGCAAGAATGTCCACCTCAGTCATCACTTGCAAAATCTCTCCCATGTTGACAAGTAGATCGAGCAAGTAGAGACCTAGTTCAAATCTTCTTTGCACCCACTAGGTGTAGAATTACTCTAAATAAGTACAACATATAAGCACAAGGAAAGCATATTGTCACCAACATACTTCACTAAATTAGCAACTTATAAGAACATATAAATGCCAAAGTATCTAATTTTCATTCCACATTCAATTAAGAGTAAATGTGCCATATTTCCACATGATATGAGAGCAAGATCTAATCTCAACATAATAGATTCTACTTAAAGTGCAATTTCTCTTATAATACAAATACATGTCACAAATATAATGACAATTATTAAAGATCCCAAACCTCACGGGAATTTTATTTATGTGGTAATGTCTTTTGGACTTTGTAATGCTCCAACAGCATTTCAAAGGGCCATGTCCTATGCCTTCTTCGACCTTTTACACAAATCAATGACAAAGTTCATTGACGACTTTAGCACCCAATCTTCTAAAACAAAACATTTGGAATGTGTTTGGGCTACTCTTCAACATTGTTGAAAGACCAAGATTGCACTAAACCCTGACAAAATATTCCTAGCAGTTCAAAAGGGAGTTCTACTAGAATATGTGGTATCAAAAAAGGATAGAGAACTTGATCCAGAAAAGGTCAAAGTTATTGTAGACTTAAAACCCCCTTCTATGGTGAAAGAGGTACAAAGGACATTGAGACACATAAGATGGTATCGGGAAGTCATACAAGATTATGCTACACTTTCCATGTCCATAACTCGACTAATACAAAAAGAGGTGAAGTTTGAATGGGGTGAAAAATACGAAGAAGCATTTGATATCCTTAAAGAAAAACTTAGTACTTTTCCTATCTTAAGACCTCTCAATTGATCATTGCCCTTCCATGTGCTTTGTGACGCTTCATCAATAGTCGCAGGGAGCACATTGTGTCAAGCAAGTGGAGAAAAAGGTAAAGATTATCCCGTAGCCTTTGCTAGTAGGCAATTGAATCCTACAAAGAGGAATTATACTACCACGGAATGAGAATGCCTTGCCATGGTTTTTTCCATTAAGAAGTTTAGACATTACCTTCTCTTAAATCTAGTGGTATTTTCTGTAGACCACATAGCAATCAAGTACCTTGTAAATAAGGCTGATTTAAGTAGTAGACTTGCAAGGTGGGTACTTCTATTAGAAGAATTTGATTATATGGTAGAATATAAGCTAAGAAGGATGCACAAGCAAGCAAATCATTTATGTAGGTTGTCAGATCAAATTGGTGAAGTTCCAATTGATGACACATTGATAGATGAAATCTTGTTTATTGTTTCAACCATGTCCACTTGGTATGCATTAATTACCAAGTTTCTGACAACTCAAGCCTTGCCTCCTAATCTTTCTAAAATAGAACATAGGAAGATAAGAATTAATAGTAGATACTTTGCCACAATTGGTGGCAAATTATATAGATGTAGAGTTGACGGGATGTTAAGGAGCTATGTAATGGAAGAAGAAATTCCTACCATTCTATTGGCATGTCATGATAGTGCATATGGGGGTCACTTTTGAGGAACCTTAACAGGCCAAAAAATACTGAGAGCAGGTTATTATTGGCATACATTATTTTAAGATGTGCATAGATATACTAAGACTTGCGATGCATGTCAACGATATGTTAGGAATGACCTAAAGATGAGTTTGCTTCTCCATATTTTCCTATCTTTAGTTTCCTTTAAAAAATGGGGAATTGATTATATTGAAGAGGTTCATCTCAATTCCACTAGTGGCATAAAATTTATAGTAGTAGCAACCAAATACTTCACCAAGTTGGCTGAGGCAAAGGCAATTAAAGCGAGCGATGCCAAACAAGCTGCCAAATTTTTCTATGAATAAATCATCACTAGGTTTGGATGTCCAAAAATCCTAATTAGTAATAGAGGCAAGCATTTCTTAAATGAAGTGATAGAAGATTTGACCTCCCAATTTAAAATTGATCATAGAAAAACTACTCCTTATCACCCTCAAACAAATGGGAATACAAAAAGGATAAATCAAACCTTGGTCAATATCCTTAGAAAAACTGTTAAAATATCTAAAAGAGATCGGGATACAAAGCTCTTTGCAGCCTTATGAGCTTAGAGAACAATGCTTAAAGTGACAACCCAAGCAACTCCATTTTCCTTGGTTTATGGGATAGAAGCTATTTTACTAATTGAATTTGAAATTCCTTCGATTCGAATTGCTTTGAAAGAAAGATTATCAACTAAACAATCTTTAATTGATAGACTAGAGCGATTAGAAGGTCTAGATGAGATCAAAAGAAAAAGTGCTCAAGATGTAGAAGCCATCCAAAGAAGAAGAAAAATTGCCTTTGATAAGCGACATAAAGTTAGAACCCTTAAGCTTGGCATGTTAGTTCTCTTACAAGATGCTAGGAGACTAGATTTTCCAAGAAAATTTGATGCTTTATGATTGAGCCCCTATTTAGTTAAGAAAGTCTTTCCAAATAATTTAGTTTGGCTACAAATATTCAATGGCAAAGATTTTTTCACTATAACATTTGGAAATAGATGTAAAGAATATAGAGTATGATTTTTATCATATACAAAGTCAAACGACTCATCTTCAAATTCACCCTTATTCAATTTCTCAAGGAGCAAATTATCAAATCTGGGTGGAATTTAGAAGCTAAAATATTAGAGCTCAAGATAAGCTATAGTCATTGTTGTTCTCATTATGTTCAAGCTTCAATATACCAAAGCAATTGAACTAATAGAGGTGGGTTCGAACATGGGGAAAGACTGGTTATATGAATTGGGTGTGTTAGTGTCACAATTGATGGTACTCTAGCTATCTGAAATCAATTATCAAACTACAAAATACCAAGGCTTACTACTTCCGTCTTAATTCAACACATAATCCATTCTACGAATATCAATTCAACAATACTTCCATATTCTTATCGGTTCATCTCCCACTTACTCTCTTTGCAGTTTATATATATTCAATTACTGATCTCCAACTTACTTATTATATTTAGTTTCTTAATTCATGACACAGAATTCAATATCTTTACTTAATACAACACAATTTGATAATCTCAATTCTCAAGGTCATAGATTTTCTCCAAAACGGTCAGTCCAAAGTCATAATCCACAATATTCTAATCATAGTTTCAACAATACTTCTCTCAATTACAATTCTTTATAAGTAAATAATAAAAGCAAAAAAAATAAAGAGGTGGCATCAAGCTTATCTCGGCTTATGACTCTCATAGTCTGGCCCCGATC